TAGCTTTAATGTCTCATGTGGTGTTCAGCCCGTCTGTCTAGTATGTGTTAGCTTTAATGTCTCATGTGGTGTTTAGCCCGTCTCTCTAGTATGTGTTAGCTTTAATGTCTCATGTGGTGTTCAGCCCGTCTGTCTAGTATGTGTTAGCTTTAATGTCTCATGTGGTGTTTAGCCCGTCTCTCTAGTATGTGTTAGCTTTAATGTCTCATGTGGTGTTCAGCCCGTCTCTCTAGTATGTGTTAGCTTTAATGTCTCATGTGGTGTTCAGCCCGTCTCTCTAGTATGTGTTAGCTTTAATGTCTCATGTGGTGTTCAGCCCGTCTCTCTAGTATGTGTTAGCTTTAATGTCTCATGTGGTGTTCAGACCGTCTCTCTAGTATGTGTTAGCTTTAATGTCTCATGTGGTGTTCAGACCGTCTCTCTAGTCTAGTATGTGTTAGCTTTAATGTCTCATGTGGTGTTCAGCCCGTCTCTCTAGTATGTGTTAGCTTTAATGTCTCATGTGGTGTTCAGCCCGTCTCTCTAGTATGTGTTAGCTTTAATGTCTCATGTGGTGTTCAGCTTGTCTGTCTAGTATGTGTTAGCTTTAATGTCTCATGTGGTGTTCAGCCCGTCTCTCTAGTATGTGTTAGCTTTAATGTCTCATGTGGTGTTCAGACCGTCTCTCTAGTCTAGTATGTGTTAGCTTTAATGTCTCATGTGGTGTTCAGCCCGTCTCTCTAGTATGTGTTAGCTTTAATGTCTCATGTGGTGTTCAGCCCGTCTCTCTAGTATGTGTTAGCTTTAATGTCTCATGTGGTGTTCAGCTGGTCTGTCTAGTATGTGTTAGCTTTAATGTCTCATGTGGTGTTCAGCCCGTCTCTCTAGTATGTGTTAGCTTTAATGTCTCATGTGGTGTTCAGCCCGTCTGTCTAGATGTGTTAGCTTTAATGTCTCATGTGGTGTTCAGCCCGTCTCTCTAGTATGTGTTAGCTTTAATGTCTCATGTGGTGTTCAGACCGTCTCTCTAGTATGTGTTAGCTTTAATGTCTCATGTGGTGTTCAGACCGTCTCTCTAGTCTAGTATGTGTTAGCTTTAATGTCTCATGTGGTGTTCAGCCCGTCTCTCTAGTATGTGTTAGCTTTAATGTCTCATGTGGTGTTCAGCCCGTCTCTCTAGTATGTGTTAGCTTTAATGTTTCATGTGGTGTTTAGCCCGTCTCTCTAGTATGTGTTAGCTTTAATGTCTCATGTGGTGTTCAGCCCGTCTCTCTAGTATGTGTTAGCTTTAATGTCTCATATGGTGTTCAGCCCGTCTCTCTAGTATGTGTTAGCTTTAATGTCTCATGTGGTGTTCAGCTTGTCTAGTCTAGTATGTGTTAGCTTTAATGTCTCATGTGGTGTTCAGCCCGTCTGTCTAGTATGTGTTAGCTTTAATGTCTCATGTGGTGTTCAGCCCGTCTCTCTAGTATGTGTTAGCTTTAATGTCTCATGCGGTGTTCAGACCGTCTCTCTAGTATGTGTTAGCTTTAATGTCTCATGTGGTGTTCAGCCCGTCTGTCTAGATGTGTTAGCTTTAATGTCTCATGTGGTGTTCAGACCGTCTCTCTAGTATGTGTTAGCTTTAATGTCTCATGTGGTGTTCAGCCCGTCTCTCTAGTATGTGTTAGCTTTAATGTCTCATGTGGTGTTCAGCTTGTCTAGTCTAGTATGTGTTAGCTTTAATGTCTCATGTGGTGTTCAGCCCGTCTCTCTAGTATGTGTTAGCTTTAATGTCTCATGTGGTGTTCAGCCCGTCTCTCTAGTATGTGTTAGCTTTAATGTCTCATGTGGTGTTTAGCCCGTCTCTCTAGTATGTGTTAGCTTTAATGTCTCATGTGGTGTTCAGCCCGTCTCTCTAGTATGTGTTAGCTTTAATGTCTCATATGGTGTTCAGCCCGTCTCTCTAGTATGTGTTAGCTTTAATGTCTCATGTGGTGTTCAGCTTGTCTAGTCTAGTATGTGTTAGCTTTAATGTCTCATGTGGTGTTCAGCCCGTCTGTCTAGTATGTGTTAGCTTTAATGTCTCATGTGGTGTTCAGCCCGTCTCTCTAGTATGTGTTAGCTTTAATGTCTCATGTGGTGTTCAGCCCGTCTCTCTAGTATGTGTTAGCTTTAATGTCTCATGTGGTGTTCAGCCCGTCTCTCTAGTATGTGTTAGCTTTAATGTCTCATGTGGTGTTCAGCCCGTCTCTCTAGTATGTGTTAGCTTTAATGTCTCATGTGGTGTTCAGCCCGTCTCTCTAGTATGTGTTAGCTTTAATGTCTCATGTGGTGTTCAGCCCGTCTGTCTAGTATGTGTTAGCTTTAATGTCTCATGTGGTGTTCAGCCCGTCTCTCTAGTATGTGTTAGCTTTAATGTCTCATGCGGTGTTCAGACCGTCTCTCTAGTATGTGTTAGCTTTAATGTCTCATGTGGTGTTCAGCCCGTCTGTCTAGATGTGTTAGCTTTAATGTCTCATGTGGTGTTCAGACCGTCTCTCTAGTATGTGTTAGCTTTAATGTCTCATGTGGTGTTCAGCCCGTCTCTCTAGTATGTGTTAGCTTTAATGTCTCATGTGGTGTTCAGCTTGTCTAGTCTAGTATGTGTTAGCTTTAATGTCTCATGTGGTGTTCAGCCCGTCTCTCTAGTATGTGTTAGCTTTAATGTCTCATGTGGTGTTCAGCCCGTCTCTCTAGTATGTGTTAGCTTTAATGTCTCATGTGGTGTTCAGCCCGTCTCTCTAGTATGTGTTAGCTTTAATGTCTCATGTGGTGTTCAGCTTGTCTAGTCTAGTATGTGTTAGCTTGAATGTTTCATGTGGTGTTCAGCCCGTCTGTCTAGTCTAGCAATATAAATCTAGAAAATGGTCTGCTATAAAGCTGATATATATAATGCTGGTAAAATTCTATTGATATAAAGCTAGTAAAATGTTATAAAGCTAGGTCACCGCTCTTATAACACCATTCAGTCTGCTGATATAAATCTAGTATGTCTTTAAACTAAACCTAGTCTGTCTAGTGTTTAAATATAATAGTTTATTCTATAAAGCTAGCTGCAAGTGTCAAATAATGTAGCTAGTCTACATAGAGTAGTTATAAAGCATATAGGCTAAGTGTTATGTTATTGACCCACCCAGTCTTGTGTACTAAATCTAGTCTGTCTAGTTTTATAAATCTAGGCTATCCCGTGCTATAAAGGTGAACTATGTAGTGCAAGAGAGCAACTCTATGTGTCGAATAGTAAAGCTATTATTCTTTGAGCTTTAATGCTATAAAGTTATATAAGGCTAGAGTTGTATAATCGACCTCTATATCTAGAATATTAAAGTAGTCTGTTTTATATTATAGAACTATATTATCGCATTGATAATTAGTGTCATTCTTCAAGGCGTGTCCTATTTATAGACGAACCTAAACCATCCCACACAGCACATATAACGTTAGCTACAAGACTGCTGAAGGTTTTCACAATCTGTGATGTCGATACTTTAAACCTCATCAGCCTTGAGAAGATTGATGTGGTTTTTTTTTGTACAAACTTGAAACTATTGCAGGAAGGCAGGTAGATCTAGAGATAAACCTTTATTTCCTGTCTGGATGTGAGATGTTTAAAACTCTACACAAGATCCCGACTTTGTTGTAAAGTCAGATGGCCTTAGCTTATGAGAGATTAAAAGCCATCACCCGGCATAAGTTCAGTTGTTGCAAAAATGAAATGGCTCAAGTAAGGCTACAGTTTGTTAGATAATTAAAAAAAAACACAGAACATGGCACAATTTCAGCTGTTCCATACGTTAGATAGTTTGAGTAAGTTTGTTAGAGAACGAAAATCATCACCATCTAATTCTTTCAACTCCTAGAGGTGATGAGGCTTTCATCGGCATTTAGATGTGAAAGACATCTATTGAGGTTTGGCTCGGCTAAGCTGTATTTTGTTTGGGATTTATGCTGTGGTGAGCTGTACACTACACTGGAATCAACTAAAAGCTACAGATAAACCTAGAGATAAACCTACATATAAACCTACAGATAAACCTAGAGATAAACCTACAGATAAACCTAGAGATAAACCCTGAGATAAACCTTGAGATAAACCCTGAGATAAACCTAGAGATAAACCTTGAGATAAACCATGAGATAAACCATGAGATAAACCTTGAGATAAACCATGAGATAAACCTTGAGATAAACCTTGAGATAAACATTGAGATAAACCGAAATAAACCTTGAGGTTTGAGAACTATTCTAACGCTGTCAATATTAAAATACATGTCCAAATCAAGTTATTTGCTCCCCGGTGTAATAATGCACTTCACGTTTAATAGAACGACGGATGCATGTAAAATATTTTGTTAAACAGTTGTTGATAATTTTTGGGGTAGGGTTTAGGAATGCAGATGTATTTAACGTATATGTCTGTGAGTTGGTGTGGGCAGAGTTTTTTCCAGGCATCTCTTCGGGGGTTCGCAGACCCCCCCCCCCCCCACCCAGCTTCCCCGAAAATTGTCTACCGACCCCCCCCCCCCCCCCCCTCAGAACGAAATATATAACTTTAACTGTGTCCGCCTCCTCCCCGGAAAAAAATTTCAGTCAAAATTTCAAGCGCCCCTTCCCCTTCCACACCCCCACCCAAGAAAAAAGTTTGGAAAAAACACGGGGTGTGGGCTGGCTAAGCCTCCAAGTCGTTTCCCCTTCCCCCCCTCTGATCCGTCGATAAGTTGACAATAATACTTTAAGAATTGTTAAGAACATAGTAATGTATATACTGTAATATACTGTAATATATACATAGTAATGTATATACTATCAAAACATTTCCAGTAAGCACACAATTTTAAGTCCATTGTTCGGTTTTTTGGTCAAAATATTTCCAAATGTCCATCCCCCACACTCTCTCACCCCCCCCCCCACCCCTCATTCAAGATAGCTGGCTTTTCATTTGTTTTTCAGTGTTGTTTTATAGTAAAATGTATGAAAAAAAAATCCGAAATAAATCGTACCATTATAAGAGCTCCATGTGTTTTGAACGTTCACAGTTTGTATGTGATTACTAGCCGGAAAACACTTGTAACATATCACATCCAATCAGGGAAATGGTAAAAAAAACTTTTAAAGTACAGCAGTCATCACATTTATTTCTCTTGTACGTTCGCACACAAAATGCCTTCGAACTACTATGCTGTAGTTAACAAAAGTCTTAGCGAAGACCTAACGATTGAGTCCACTCCACGACCTAACCTATAACTCCAGTTCACGAAGACATTAAAATTAAACAAAAAGCCTAACAAATGACTACATTGTACAGAGACCTAATCAAAGATCCCACTGAAAAGAGACCTAACAAATGACTACACCGAACAGAGACCTCACAACAAGTGTGACTGAGAAGTGGAAACATGTGCAGCGAGTCACTGCACCCATCTGTTGTTTCCCCGTCTAGTGTTGCACGGCTGGGACCTTGCTCAACACAAACCCAACACACAGATTAACCTAAGCTGTGCTAATACAGCCACACAATGGGGACCGTTGGTGAGCACTGTTGGGGATGTGGGTAAATGGATACATTGAAATGAATTTTTAGAAGCTAAACGGTATGTTCAGACAAACTGTCAATACCTGAAAAACAGATTTATTATTATTATATATATATATATATATATATATATATATATATATATATATATATATATATATATACAAATATACACATATATACATACATACATACACACACACATATATATATATATATATATATATATATATATATATATATATATATATATATATATATATATATATATACAAGTATACATATATATACATACACACACATTCATATATATATATATATATATATATATATATATATATATATATATATATATATATATATATATATATATATATATATATATATATATATATATATATATATATATATATATGTTACTAGTTTTTAAACCATCGTATTTATGTACACCAATATTGAACCAATTAGCACATAATTCACAGCCCTCTTGCTTTGTATGGCGCTAACCATCGCCTCCTTACACAAGTACAATACCATAGCAATAGCGTAGAGTAACGAAGCACTAACTCAGATATTGATTACACTGTCGCCCTTCCTTCCTTCACACCAACTTCAGGGCTATGGGTGACATAACTCGGCTCAAATACAGCCGAGGGGAGAGAACTTGCGAGAGACAGGGGAAGTGATTAACCCACGGTTACACTCTGGTAGTATTGTCAAGAGGCCAAAATATATAACAATGCCAAACTACTTATGGAAACGAAGCTGGGTGTAAAATAAAATTTGTAGCAAAGTTTATGTTAGTCGACACTTCAGCTCTATGGCAAGTTAAATCAAACTAAACATGAAATTCTTTCTCGGACTTGAAATAAGTTTTTTGACAAGTCTGGATTAGCGGCGATTAAGCTAAGTGCTGATGAGCACTAAAATAGATTTTTGAATAATTATTACCCGAGTCTAGTAAATGTTCGAGTTTAAACACTACAGCTCGCTAGACGTGCAGATACATCAGGGAGTGCGGCTGTCACTACTGTGGCGACGTGGTGAGGTCGTAGAGCGGACAACTGATCACACGACTCACGTTTGTAAGAGGTCTATCAGCTACATGCAACAGGTACCTGACTTACGTTTGTAAGAGGTCTATCAGCTACATGTGAGAGGTACCTGACTTACGTCTGTAAGAGGTCTATTAGCTACATGTAACAGGTACCTGACTCACGTTTGTAAGAGGTCTATCAGCTACATGTGACAGGTACCTGACTCACGTTTGTAAGAGGTCCATCAGCTCAGCTACATGCGATGGGTGCCTGACTAACGATTGTAAATGTGGTTGGGATCATACTATCCGTTCAAACAAAATTTTGTAAGGTCCAAAAGGGTAACTTAATATTTGTAACAACAATCATTTAATAAATAGATTAAGAAACAACAAACAGTCATTAAAATGAAGAGTCAATTGCAAAGTTATGATTGAAGCTAACAAAACACCACTTCTATATTTAGACTTGAAACTCTGGTTCCAAATGTTTGTTGCCAGAAAGCATATTTTCAACCAAAAGTGAATATTTTATAACATTTGAAAAATAAGTACAAAATGACTTCCGCTTTAATTAATTAAGACTAGAAAATTTTAAAATTCCAAGAAATATTTATTAGTCAAATAATAGTAATTTAGATTACACTTATACTTTTAATTTGGATTAGTATGGTCAGGGTGTTGTGGTGATATTATTTAATATAATGACACTACCAGGCTATACCTCATTGACTGCTATTGTGTATTTTATCATGGAAAACAATTGTTATGATTTTCAATGAGTGGTTGAGGGCCGTTTTTAAAAATATTTGAATTGATGAAATATCTTTTGCCATATTTTAATAAAGATTTAAAAAAAAATTAGTATGATTACATTGAATGGACAAATTACTATTAAGTGAACATATGATAAAAGGTCAAAGATTCAACTTTTTTAAAAATCCTTATGACAGACGTAGTTAAGATAAGAAACAAAAATATATTAAACACGTATAATTCGTAGATACTTCATTGCAAGGAGCATATATGTATTCTTTGTTTTTTAAAAGGCAAATAGAATCTTTTAAAAATGCTAAGTATTCTGGCTCAGGTAGAGATTCCCAAATATAATCCGATTTAAAAAATATTTTAACTCTATTTTTTCCCCAACAAAATGGAACCCTATTGGGGGTGCACCGTTGAAACATCAAAATTTAATATATAAGGACTGCTCTCATATATATATATATATATATATATATATATATATATATATAAATGTGGTTAGGTGTATCGTTACAGGGTGAGAGTGGGATTAGGTTGTTTTAAAGCAAGATGCGGTGTTTTAAAATATGTGCACACCAAACGGACAGTGGCGTAACTAGTCGTCCATCAGTCGGGAGAACCGGACCGGCAACAGTAGGCGTTAAATAACAAAAATAAATACCTTTTTGATTACAAGCTTTTAAATGCACTGAAAATAAGAAAATGAAACTAATTTGCTTTCTTTCATAAAAGCTGTGGTTACTCATAAGATCTTTTACATATTTTAGCAATACAAGCTTTTATGAAAGAAAGCAAATTAGCTTTATTTTCTGATTTTCATTACATTTAAAAGCTGGCTATTAGAAAGTTGTTTTTTTATATTTGTTTTATTTTCTACTTTTTATTAATTCATAATCTACCAATGCTGCAACTAAAAGTATTTGCTTTGAAACACTATCAGTAGCTCGTGAAATATGATTAACTCAAGCAGTATGACATGTAGGTACAATCACAACACAAGCAGATAGATATGTAGATACATATCTAAACACAAGCAGATAGATATATTGCAACATATCTAAGCACAAGCAGATAGATATGTAGATACAATCACAACAGAAGCAGATAGATACACGATTACACAAGTATCACGCTCAAAGTTTGTCTGTATGTTTGATGTTAGGTTTTTATAAGATAAAAGAATCACATTATGATAAATGACGTAATTATATTATTTATCTCAATACGCCGCTTCTGTTTTATTTGTTTGTTTATACGTTTGTCTGATATTGAGTATATCAAATATGAAAATGTCTGTATTTTATGTATTTTTATTTCTGTTCATTTCTATGTGCGTCAGTTTGTGTCTCTATATAGTTGTGTGTATGTGTGTGTGTATGTAGGTTTGGATATGTGTCTGTATGGGCTTGTGTGTATATATGTGTGTCCCCTAGTACTAATTTACGAACATGATAAGTGAGTGTCTATCACATGAGAGTGCTCACACACAAAATATATTCCAATGAATATTAAACAGCAGAATAACGCGCCATCTGTTTACCAAATATTTCAAGTGGACGCAACTCTAAAACGTAATGTAAACAAGATTTTGAGAAGAAAATACTAGCTTTATCTACCACTTGAAATCATAATGGCTGTTATCAACACGTCTCTTGACTACTGTCTCTCCACAAGATTGATAAATTTTGATCGCTAAAAAATTAGCTGCATGCGAAAGTGTTGGGAATAAGCTGAGGTAAATGTGCATCCAGCTGTTCTTATCATTTTCTACACTCGGTCATAAAAACGCAAACAGATATTTATTTGTTCTATAACGGAAGAGGTTTGTTATGTAAGATTAATTTCGTTCTAAGTATATCTTACAGTCTTGCTTCGTGTATCCTAATATGTTGAGGTAGAGGCAGAGTGATAACTCTAGAGTATGCTATTTTGAGATACAGGTGAGGTTAGTGTATGCTACTATACTGAGATAGTTACATACAGGTGAGGTTAGTGTATGCTACTATACTGAGATAGTTACATACAGGTGAGGTTAGTGTATGCTACTATACTGAGATAGTTACAGAAGGTTAGTGTATGCTACTATACTGAGATAGTTACATACAGGTGAGATTAGTGTATGCTACTATGTTAATATCGTGTCAGACAGGTGAGGTTAAACCATATTATAATGTTGATAGCGTATCCAGGTGCATGTTTTATTTCCCCCGCATTGAGACAGTGATGAGGTATGGCGTTGCTATGGCAACAACCCTGGCGTCTCATGTGGTAGACCCCGGCACTCACGTCAAGCTAGGATACCTGGCATAGCTGGAAGGCAGTAAAGGGAGGTAATCTCTGGAGCTAGGGCTGGTCCTGGAGATGAATTGTGTGCCTTGTTTCTACTTGTTCGTCAGCTCACGAGCAATGACATGCATGCTACACGATACAAGCAGAGATTATTTAATTAACAAACTGAGCGTGCGTTGTTACTTTTGGTTTAGTCATCATAAATAAGAGAACGTATTCTTAATTTTACGTTCCGTCTTCACCAACATATAACGTTCAGAAATCGGTACTTTGTCGAATATATATATATATATATATATATATATATATATATATATATATCAGACGAAGCTAAATAAAGAAATCATTTCCAGTAATATTTTGCTCACTCAACATGCAAGCCATGTGCTCATCATGCCCCTGATATTTCTATCAAAAAGATGCACGCCCCACCTTTCTAAGACGACGTTTTGTAAAAAATGTGATCAGACATGCATTTATTTATTTTCGAGCAAGATATTCAAACAAGGGTTCACATTTAGAAGAGAAAAAAAAAACAGTTTCAAACAAACGTTTTTAACATGTAAAACAAACACGTTTTTTATCTGATCTAAATGATCATTTTATAATTTTTAAAATCTTTAAACA